TTCCTTTAAAATGTCTGTCAGACACTCCATACTCCTACCCACAGGAAGGGCAATAATGTTTAATAATGAGACATTCTAGGTTGCCTTTTCCATTAGTTATATTGCATTTAACTTTTTATAATGCTATTAATTCAAAACAATATTCAAATTTCTGACACTTAAAATGTGAACACAGATTCTCCAGTCAAATATAAGACAACATGATATTGTGAGTTTTACTGCACTTAAAAAACTCACATGAATTTGATTAAAAAATTGTAACAGTATGTGTCTTAAAATCATTAGGAGAACCTATTTTTATGTTGAAATTTCCTGCTGTGGGAGAAGTGATTTCAAAATAACAACACTCACCACCACCACAAAGAAAGGTCCCTCCTGTCATATTGTATGCTCATTTAGTCATTCAGCAGATGTTTCTTGAACATTTGCATCTTACTAAATATAGGGACAGGGGAAGGAAGAGTGGAGATGAGTAAAGAAGTGGGGGACGGTGGTGTTGTGATGGTTGGTGGGGAGAATACACAGGTAGCCCATTTGGTGAATATGATAGTTCACGGACTGTTGATATAACTAGTTTTAAAAAAATATTCCTTCATATATAGGTTAATTCTTTTTAAAAATAAACATTAGTATCTTGTCCTCATATGGGCCTTAATAAAGTTTTAACAGTAGAAAACAGTAATTACCTTAACAAATCTAATGCTTCTCAATATAATGTAATCAAGAGAACTTTAATTCTGGGGCGCCTGGGTGGCTCAGTTGGTTAAGCGACTGCCTTCGGCTCAGGTCATGATCTCGGGGTCCTGGGATCGAGCCCTGCATCGGGCTCCCTGCTCAGCAGGAAGCCTGCTTCTCCCTCTCCCACTCCCCCTGCTTGTGTTCCCTCTCTCCCTGTGTGTCTCTCTCTGTCAAATAAATAAAATCTTAAAAAAAAAAAAAAAAAAAAAACCCCAAGAGAACTTTAATTCTGAAGCAGTCTCTACACCCATTGGAGGGCTCGAACTCACAACCCCGAGATCAAGAGTCACACGCTCCACCGACTGAGCTAGCCAGCCGCCCCAAGAGAATTTTAGAGCTGCAAAATAACTTCTAGATCATGTAGTTTAATTCCACCCTTCACAATAACTCTATTTTTATTTGCTGGTTCATTTTGTGTTTATTCTCAGATGGGAATCAAATGAGGACCACAGGTCTTGGATCTGTGTCCTTCGGAGGAAAGGAAAGACCACTTTCAGCAGGAGAGCTGGCCATTTCGATCATCCCATTTATCAAACGGCAGCAGGTCTGCTCTACCAGGATCGATGGGTTCACTCTCATTGGTTTAAACCCAGTAGGTCTTGAATCAGTAATTTTAGTAAATATTACAAGGCTCATGTGATAGTCTAATTACAGTATCAGTTCACATTTCGGGATTCATTGCATATTATCTTGGCAACATTAAATCTATTAATATAATATGTTACATCTTTCACTTATAGGCAGAATGCAAGTATCTGAGACTCTAACATGAACCAGTTGCCACTTCAAGACTACTTTAAAGTCATATTTTAAAGTATTCTCTCACTGTAATTCTTAATGTTCTTTTCTTTAAATTACTTAATTTGCCTAAGTAGCCAGGTTTCTGTGGTTGTTTTCATTATATGGAATCTTGATTTTATAGAGTTATCTAAATTATACCAAATGAAACACCAAATAGTTAAATCTGGAAGGAATAAGAGCCACACAGAGGATTTCACTGTACTCTGTGGTGCATGGAAATGCAACTGCTCTTACATAACGTCTAACTCTGCCTGGGAGCTAAGAAAGAAGCTAGAGCTTTCTTTAGCCCCACAGTCATGCCGGGGTTCTCAATTGCATCATGACCTCTGTACCTGGGCAAGAAAAAGCCTTGGTATGGATTCAGAAAAGGAAAATAGCAGTTACCAAGTACCTAACACCTACCAGGAACTCAGTTCTTCTGATGTAGAACCAGTGGTTTAAAGATCAAGCAGTCTGCCCAAGGTCATATAAATGATGAGCAAGCTCCTGAGGGCCAGGGCTGGGTCTCTGTTATCAGTCCGTCCAGAGAACCTCAGATGTAGGGTGTAAGGATATAATCACTGCTGCTGGAGTCCCTCTGTCTTAATGTCAGAGGTGTTTTAGTTAACACTTGTATTCTCCCTCTGTTGTGTTAGCACAGGGGCAGTCCTTAAAGTGAGAGGTTGATCCCAGAAAGAGTTAAAATTATTTTTGCTCTAAGTTATGTTGACAAATTATAATCAGTTTTAAAGGATGTGGTACATTTATTTTTTTAAATGATTATCTCCCTAAGAGAGACAACTGTTTCTTGGGATAGATTCTTTATCAAATCCTTATAAATAACAATAGAAAAAATTTAAAAGACCATGTTACATAACAGTAAATGGGAAGCCTTCCTGCTTTGTTTCATTTTTTTCTATTTAAAAAAAAAAAACGCAAAAACAAAACACCTGTCTGGAGTTAGGCCTAGTTGATTTTTTTTTTTGGGGGGGAGGGTCTCAACTTGGTGAGTGCTTTCACTGAAGGCATAAGGTATTCTTAGCTTCTCCTTCTGAAATGCGACCTGGCAACTGCTCAACGCCACTGAGCAATGTTACAGAGCAAGGCAGTTCAAGAAGCGAAAAAGAAAGCCACACTGAAATGAGGCTTTGGAGAGTGGGCTTGTGGATTGCAGAATCCACCTTTACCAACACAGAAAACAGTCAAGGGCAAGGTCGTATGAATGATTACGATCATATAAATGCTCAAGTTCTTCCCACCATAAATCTCTGAGCTGTACATACTTACATACCATAAGCAGTGACCTTCTAAGTGAACATCTGTGTGGGAGAGAAGTGCTCCTGCCACAAAGTCTGAATTCTTTGGGGGGGCGCGGGAGGGATGTTCTCGGAAGTCAAGTGTGACTACCCCTCCCACCTTTCTTTTCTCATTTTTATAATGCCACCCCACAGAAACATTTTTTAAATAACAAAGGGTAATTTCAGTGGAAAGAGTCAAATTCTGAGACTTCTGACCTTATTAGTAACTATAAAAAATATGTAATAGAACTTCGCTTTCTAATATGAGCTCTTTCCTGAACATAAGTACTTTTAAAAAAATACAGCCCACTTGATTTTAATTGTTTAACTCCAGTGAAGGAAGCAGACTTCTTTTTAATGTGGCCCCCCCCCTTTAAAAACACAAGTATCTTTATAACAGTTTGGGTACCAAGTGAAGGGTCACAGTTGGTCCCAGAGTCAGCACTTTCTGGCTGTTCAAAATTTGCTCATTAAAACCATGTGTTAAATTAAAATTGAAAAATTACTGGAGGATACAACAACAACAAAAAGAATGTGTTTATGTAAATCCCTGAATGGACTTACTATTTGCTTTTGATCAATGAACTTGATTTAGCACTAAAATGGCATCCTTAATAGGTCAGTCTGTTCCTGCTGCACACACCAGAGGGGACATTTTTAGAGACGTATTTTTAAATCTCAGCCGTTTCTAAACAGTATGCATAGTTTCTTGCTTAGAAACCTCAATGGCTATTTTTTCGACCGAGCATGCATATAACTTTATACTTTGGGGTCATTCTCTTACAGGATAAAAATCCTGTAAGACTGATTTGTCATACAAGAAGAAACTGAGGCCTAGTAACTTGCATATACTGTTTAGGTTCAAAAATGGAAGAGATGGTTGACCAGTGGATGCACATACTGAATGGTCTCCATTTCATTTAAAATCAAAGATACTAGTTGAAAGGTAAGGTCCTTAACAATATGTTTAAAGAGGGAGAAGAAAATGCTATTTGGTTTACCTTGAAATATTAGCAATCTTTATATAGTCCAGTTTAGAATTTATCCTTTATCCCAAAATTATCTGAAGATTATAAGAATCTATTCCTCGCTAAAAAAGTAGAGCATTTGGGGGGCTTGGTATTGAGCATTTGAGTAAAATAAATGCTAGTGTTAAAAATCAGGATGAATTGCAAATGTGAAGTGAGATTTTCTACTACAAAGCCTAGTACATTCTGAATGAATATATCTGCTGAAGAAATGTTGAATAAATGGAAGATCAGGGTTTCCAGCCTATCATCTTTTGAAACCATATGCCCTCTAACATTAAAACTGATGACCTCTAAAGACAGAAAACTTGATCATCAAGTTGGGTAACTCCTGTGAAGGGACTAGAAATGCCAGCGCACCCACTAAGTGTACCTGGGTGTTTGTACGTACAGCCTCATACTGCATGTTTCCCCCGTTAGATGCAAAGGACCCAACTCTAAGGCCTTGTATCATGCTGTGCATGCAGGCAACTTGAATCAACACACATATCATCTTGACGAAAGATGATTGAAGTATAGTTGGTAAAACACATTAACACAATAATTAAACTCTCTCTCTCTCACACACACACCCTGAAAGCAATACTCAAAAAGTAAAGAGAGGCTGCTTATATCAGCAGTAACAGTCCCAGAGTAGCCATCCTCCTTTCATCATGGTCAATTCATTAACAGAGGAGAAAAGACAGAAACTGTGGGAAATGCAGACCATCTGCTCAATCCAGATGCAATAACACACGCCTCTTATATCCAAAGCTTTTTTACCAGGAAGGAAGGGAGATAAGATCTAATCCTCTCATGAAATATCCGACAAAGGTAGTTAGATATATTTGCATCACAAATAAAAATAATGCCAAAATCATTATTAAATGAGACCTTTTAAATGTCAGTCCAGACTTTTACCATTGAGTGTATTATTGATTAAGCAGAGTACTAAATCAGCATTAGATAAAATGGAGTTGGATTCTATTAGCTTTAGTCAGCTATTCCTTAAATAAGGAATGAAGATGTTTTAAGCATGATTTTAAATAGCAAGCACATTTTAGTCCAGTCATCGTAGTTTTTAAAAGACCTCAAAAGAGATTCCTTTAACACTGTATATTGCAAGCAATGTGCATTTTCTCTCTTCTAAGAAAAGGTTAAAAACAAATATTCTTACCTTGAAATTGTGAACCTTTTCATATTTTGGAATTTGCTCGTTTTCTTTCAGAGTTGCTCTTCTAACAAGTGATGTCAACTGCGAATAAGCAAAGAGTTTCAGAGGTTGCCAGATTGTCACAGACGACTTTTGAGAACCCAGTTTCATTCCCAAGGCTGCTATCAATAAATCTTGCTGACGGCCCTCTGGTTTTGATTTGTGAACTGCAGCTCTATTAGCTTTCCTACCCGACCAAGACTCTTTGGATGGCATTTTGGAATTCAGGAAAGAAATAAAACCTATATTGATCTATGTCGGTGAACTCTATTCAGCTAACAAATGAGCATTCTGCCAGCCAGCACAGAACCCTAATCTACAGAGAGCTGCAGAGAAACATCGCGGAGAGGTGGAGGAGGATGATGAAGCACTTCTTAAAAAGAGGTCGACCTAACCAGAAAAATTCTTCTTTCTTCTTTTTTTTTTTTTTTTAAAGGGCTCTATATTTAAGCTTCTGAAAACTCAAGAGTCTGAATAGAAATAAAGAGTCGATGCTAACATACAAAACATTCAGCATCTCTCTATCCCTTTTTAAAAGCCATGCAATTTGGACAAATGACACATTTCTAAAAGCTTCCTTCTCTATTCAATATATTACTGTCCATTCTGGATGAAAGATGCCTACATACTGCCTGCAAGTCAGCTTCTAGCAGCAGACACCCTGTGGAGCCCCTAGCAGGGAGGGTGGGGAGGGAAGGGATTTGACAAGGAAGGCTGGATTAGACTGGTCACCGTAAGAAAGGAGATAACCAATGAGAATCGAGCAACAGTATTTAAGTATTGTATTCCTCAACTCTCTTTTCCTCCCTCCTCTCATGTAAGATTTTCTTGCTGGCTCAAGGAAAAGGAAAAAAAAACAAAAAAACAAAAAAACAAAACAGTGGGAAGACAATGAGCCATGAATGAGTCATGCATTATTACAAAATGGAATATTTCTTTTACCTATTAAAAGCAAAGGAAGATTAACATACAGCATCAGGTTTCAAAAGAATTTACCATCACTGCCTGGTAAATTATGAAAGGCTAATCTATATCCTCCTTTGTGCATTATGGGCTGAGGTTAGCTAACAAAAACCCAATTTTTTTTAAGATGAGCAAAAGCTGGTAAAAAGAAAAGGGGTTTAACTAGATAGCACACTATTTTCATGCAAAACAAGGAGTGTGCATATAACACTGCTAACACCCTGCAGTGGTCAGTTTTGTCTCCCTATAAGGAGGATTTTGTTGCGAATCTGTAAGTAAATGGATCCGGTCTTTGATTATTAGTCTCAACATTCTTAATTCAAAGAGCTTGAGGCCAGATCATAGTGGGAGCCAGCTAGGAATAATTTCTCATGCACACAGGTCGGAGATGTCGTGTAACTGTGCTTATATATGTTTGCTGATATAAAAAGGTGGGAAGGGTGCTGGGTAAGAGACAAATCCAGCTCCGTTTAAGAGCAATACCTATACTTTTTGCTCAACTGCTATAAGAAGCTCAAGTTTTCCCATATTGGTTCACTAAACGTCTCCCATTTGTTTCCTCATGTTATAGTAATTAAGTTTAACCCATTATGATTCCAGTTGTTACACTACTATATTTAAAGAATCAAAAACTGTATTTAAATGAATTCAGTCCATTTGCTGAACACAATTTATCTCAGATTTCATAATCTATAGGGGGTATGTGCCCAATGCAGATTCTAGTTTAATTGGGACATGAAGTTGTTCTTAAACCATGCTAGATATTAGAAATATTGATGACTGATTTTCTAAACATCCCCCAATTTTTTAATTTACTTGAGTATATAGTCCCTTCTTTTAAAATGTCTTACTCTTTTAAAAAAATTTCTAAGGGCATCTGGTTGGTTTAATCGGAGGAGCATGCAACTCTTGTTCTCAGGGTTGTGAGTTTGAGCCCCATGCTGGGTGTAGAGATTACTTAAACTTATGAAAAAAAATTTTTCTAATAAAAGGCAGAAGTTAATATTTACATCTATAGGTATTTCATTCCCACATATTTATACCCTTATGTGATCAAGACCAAAAAATAAAATGCTCCTGTTCTAAGAGAAAATACAACGGAAAGAACTTTCCTTGCCTAACCTAAATTACTTTTCAGTTTAGACCTAGTTTGTCGTGTGATGACTAAAAATATAAATGCCAACCAACTCTTTAGTCATGCACAACTGAAGGTGAAGTTTATCCAATTCTCAGTAGACACTAGAAAAGATTCCAAAGCCAAATTGAACAGTAAATTTTTTTCTTTCTATGATGTTTAATGCTTAATGTTTACATTACTATGTTAAAGAAAACAATCACCCATGTAACTCAAAGCAGTTTTTTCTCCCCTGAGTATTTCTGATCAAGGTCCTTTATTATAAACCATCCCCAGTTCTTCAGCTGTAGTAACTTAAATTCAACCAACGCATAGAAAGACTGATGGTAGAGAAAATTCATGGCTGGGCCAAAGTGCACATTTTGTCTTTGAGAGGCAAGTCTACTGTAGACTCTGCAAGGTCACTCTTCTTCCCAAATAATTTTGGTACCTAATCAAGACACACTGGATTAATTGCAATTTGGGCAGCTACCTAGGGCAACAGGAGATAGAAAACAATGGCGCAGGATGAAGTTCTTAGCTACTCTCAAAGGGCTAGGGTGTTTTTGGTCGCAGGATGCCTTCAATAACCTGCAATAATGTGCTTCTGCCATAATTTTGGTGCAGTAGCTCTCAAGTCATAAGAACTGCTAATTCTAAAGTTCAGAACTAATATCAATGTTCTGATGTTCTAGACAAATATATACCACTCATCCTTATATTTATCTGGCCATATTTAGATAGCTACAGAATCTATTAATGATGGCTATCATTTATTATTAAATATCCATGTTCCAGGCACCTAGCTAATAAGCACTTTACATACAGAATCCCATTAAATCCACAGAAAGATGCCTATGAAGTGTATTTTATCCTCACTTCATAGTTGAAAGAAAAGAGGCCTACAGTATTCAGTTTTTCATTTTGACTGTAACTAACTCTGGCCATCCTTGATACTGATAGCACTTTTGTACATTCACGTAAATGAGGGGGATGAGCCTGGAAAAAACAATGGAGAACAGGCAGATTCTACAACCCTCTCGGTGTCTGCGTCTGTCCATACCATCTACAATATAGAGAAGTGGACTACAAAAATGGTGTGTGTGTAGTAGGAGGCAGTTGTGTGAGGAATAAGAAACAGCAGGGGGAAACAGGTGACCTTCGAAGGGAACACATTTGCTGTTTTTCAAATAAAGAAATTTCCACCACTACCCCTCTAGCCGGTTGTTTGTCTAGTAATAATACTGAATTTATGTGAAACTAGTCTCTCATTTTCACCAAGTGTAGTACAATAGGGTCAGACAAAAGTGCTGATCTTAACCCTGTCATCTACTGGCTGTGGCATGTCCTGGTCAAGTTACTAATTTCTTCCAGTCTTTGTTTCCTTATGTGTATAAAAGTACTTACATTATAGAATTAGATGAGATAGTATAGGGGAAGCATTTTGCATTATTCCTGGCACAGACAGTAATCAATAAATAGAAGTTTCCCTCCTTTCCTTGTATCTAAGGACTTCTATTTCCAAGATCAGGGTTAAGATAGTGGGACTGTGAAACATGTAAAAGGCCCAAGGCCACTGGCCTAAGCAGTATAAGCTTCAGGTCAAGCTGTAACCAGGTGCTTTAAGGACACATCATAAGCATCACTGTTCTGCAATCCTTAGCTTATCCTGTCGTGGCAGTCTGAACCCCTAGGCTCAAACTCTGAGTAATCCTTGTTCTGTCCACCTTCCCACCTCAAAACCTGCTTACAGGGAAGGATCTTATCAACTTATTCATGCTAAGGTACAAATGACTGATTATACTTCCTTTTCCACAAATATCTGGTTTTTAATATAGGACCAAGACTTCTGCCAAAGGAATAAATCTAATTATTGTATGTCAGACCTCGTTAACAGTAAGAGTATTCTGTAGGAAACTGAAAGGACCTCACACAGCCAGCCACCTCCTTTGACTATCATCGTGATACCACAGACTCATGAACACAATGTTCCAGTTAACTAAGTAAAGTCAACATTCCATCAGAAAAGCCATAAAGGAATGTTCTAGCTGGCATGGCCCAGAGGTTGGGAGAGATGAAGAGTAACTACATTAACTATTGGGTAAACCTGGTTTAGCAAAATTCTGCAATTTCTATAAAATATTAATATTCAGATATTAAGAACACAGCTTTGATTTTTGGGGTCCAGGATGGTAACAGAGGAAGACCCTGAATGCACGTCCTTCACGGACATAGCACACCTACACCTATTTATAGAGGAACCACTCCTGAAGAACTGAGGGTTGACTGAACAGCTCCTGCACAACCAAAGAAAGACTTCATAGAGAACAGCCAGACAGACTAATGAAGGAAACTGCTCCCCTTGAAACTGCAAACTGCAGTGGGAAGGGATAGTACTGAGGGGCTATGAGCTGGCCACAGTTTAACAAAACAACAAGAGGGGAGGTGGACGGGGGGATGGGGTAACTGGGTAATGGGCATTAAGGAGGGCATTTGAAGTCATGAGCACTGGGTGTTAAATGCAACTGATGAATCACTAAATTCTACCTCTGAAACTAATAAAAAAATGAAAATTAAAAATTAAAAACCAACTACAATATGAAAGATCCAGCCCTGGAACTCTCTGGCAGGGTAGCTGCTGGAACTCTCCGAGTTGAAGGGGCTGGTGAGTGCCATGGTTTACGTTCCCCTCCACCTTATAGCCCAGACAGGAGCACAGCTGGCTTGCCATCTCATGAGCCTCGAGCCTCCCACACCAAACCAAGCTGTGCCACCAAGGTGGCTCCAGCACAGCGTATACCGGGCCACCCCCGGTCACCGTTGGCTCTAGCTCCAGCTGTCTCACTAAGATGACACAAGCATAAAGCACCCTGGAACACACCAGGCCCACACTACTTCAGCTCCAGATGACCTACTGGAGCAACCCCAGTGCAGAGTGCTCTGGGACCTCCTCGCTCCCACCTCC